ACCCGGAAATATTTAAGCGCGGGGCCCAAAATGTTGCAATAAAAGCGCTTTTAACGGACATACCGCTTATAGCAAGCGTGGTTACCAAAAAAACGTTTTGCAACGAAAAAAACCGTTAGTTTTGCAATTTAAACAAAAAAGCATGGAAATAAAAAAGCGAAAAATAAAAAAATAAAAATTATTTTAACAAAAGGTTGGAAAAGCGAATTTGCGCTTTTAAATTTGCCCGAACATTTTGTTAAAAAAAAAGGAATGGTTAAATAGTAAGGAAAAATAGTACTTACGATTAATAAAAGGGCGGAAAGGATAATAATACGTAGCTAACGGGCTTTAGCTATTAAAAAAAGGATTTAATGTTACGCCCCGATAGCAAAATTAGCATTAAATTACGAAAGGAAGCTTGGAAAAAGCAAAAAGCGGGGTTATCCTTTAATTACGTAACCTAAGCAGGTAATATGTTAAAAATTAATACATTAAGCATTAACAATAATATAAAGGATATAAATATATTTTACATATTAACTTTACAACAAAAAACGCTTGGGGTATAAAAAGGAACGGTTTCTTTTTTTTTAAATAATTTTTAATTGTTGCTTTGGCATTAATTAATTTAAGTTAGCTTTTAAATATCCTTTAAAGCAAGCATTTAAACCGTACCCAAAATACTTTGTAAATCCCTTTAATTGTTAAATTACGTGCTACTGTTTAGTACTTTTTTAGTGCTTTACTTTAGGAGCAGAAGCTTAATTGTAACACCGGGCTATAAAATTTGTACGGGTTTAAAAGGTTATTATTTTTATAATAAAGTAATAGTAAAAACGCTTTTTTATCCTGGAAATAACCGTTATTAAACCAGAAAACACTTACAACGCTAACAAAAGTAACTTTTAAATAGGAAAAACCAGTAACGGAATGGTTTTAAGCTTTGCTATAGCCCGGGCTTTGCAACGTAAAAACCCCGGGTTACGCATTTAACCTTTTTTATTAAATGCATTTCGGTTACGGGGGTATTGCTGCTTCCTTTTATTATTTTTAAAAGGAAAAGCGTGTAAAAGCAATGGTTTTTTTTTGCAAATTTGGTTCTTTTCCGAAAATAGGAATTTATTGCTACAAATAACGCTTAAACTAACGATTGCACGGGCTTAAAATAATTGCAAAAGGTTTTATCCTTTGTATTAAGCCTTTTTTTTTTTGCTTTTCGCTTTTTAATTTTAAATAAGCATGGGTTGTACGTTATTGCAAAGTTTATGCTTTTGTGCTTTCGGAACAACATTTTCCTATTTTATTTGCTTATTTATTTGTTTTACGTATTGCAACATTTCGATTTTACCGTGTTTAACTTTTTAAAACAAGCATATTGGAAAAAATTCAGGTTTAAAGCTTTATTTATATATTTAAAGGTAATAAAAAAGTGTTACTTTTTAACCGTTTATTGTTACGCACGATCCGTAGCTTTAACTTTTTATATAATTTTATCGGAATAACGGGCTTTTAATTTATAGCTTTGCAATATAACCAAACGTTTTATAAATTGCTTTATTATTAATAATTATGGTTAAAATAATTAGCTAACCCCAAATTTAACAATTTGCAAAAAATAATAAAATTAAAAAACGTTTAACAATTTTATTTCGAACGTTCCAAATGTTTAAAAAAAAAACCCCCAAACGATTAAAAAAGTTAGCCAATTAAATTAACATTATTAAAACCCGCTTTTCCGTAAGCTTTACAATGTTACGGTATAACCCAAATAACGTGGTGAACTAAATGGGAAAACGAGGTTATTAACAAATGTGCAGAAAGGATTCAAATGGAACCCCTTCCCGTGGTTGCCGAGGGCACTATATACCACGTAGCCACAGCCACACAAGCCACCAAAGCGGTGCAAGCCAAAGGCCATGCACCGATTTATTACATACAATACGATTATTTTTTAAAAAGTTTTAAAAAAGCTACAACGAGCAGAAATACGATTTAGCTAAAGCCCAGCAAAAAATTAAATAATTAAAAGTGTAAGGAGGACTTGGGGGTGGAATCCTTTGCTCGCGGAGCTCCAAACGGCGTAAAACTAAATTTTAATAATTATCAAAAGGTAAATTAAGTAAAAATATTATATTTTAAGTTTAAGGAAAAAGGAATTTTGCTAAAAAAAAAGGACGGATCCAACTTTTTTATATAAAGGACAAAAAAGCTTTGGTGGCCTTGTGCACAAATTATAAATTTATGCATAAGGATTCCATGGATTCCGTGCATGCGCCCATTTGGTAAATTCCAATACCAATTATTATTATTTTTTAAAGCGCATGCATGGTAAAAAAAAAAGGAAATCAGCGATTTAAATGCGCTATAATAAATAATTTGGTTAACATGTAAAAAGAAAATGTTTGTTCGCATTGCTTTGCCGAATTTAAATTATTACTAGGTAGTAAACGTAAATAAAATTTTGGTAAATAATAAAAAATCCGGTTTCGAAGCTTCGGGATTGTTAATTTAAAGGTTATAAGCTTTTGGGATTGTGGTAAATTAAATGGATGGTTTTTGTAATATTTGGAAATGGGTGCGTTAAAAGCAAAGGTAAAGGCTAACAAATAAAGGCCGGTAAACCTTTACTTAGCCCGTTAATCGTCGATCCAATTACTTTAATCTTTTTTTTACAACCCCGTTTTTTAAACCAATTTAATTGGCTACGTACGTTCCGGAATTATTATTTGCAGCTTATGCGCTCGTTATATTGTCGTTTCCCTTTTTTTTATATTTAATTCCGTACTTTATACCTTCCTAACAACATTATACACTTTTCGTTTGGCTCGAACGCTTAAAATTTATTTAATTACGCTCCGGAAAGCGCTATTTCGTTGGAAAAAGTTTAAAATTAGCAATTGGCTGCTTGGGTCGCTCCAAAAACAAAGCTTTACAGCTTACCCTTAAATTATGCCTTTTCCCGTTAAAAAATTTAACAAGCTTTCTTCGTTTCCGGCATTACAATTTGTGCTTAAAAGTTTGCCCGCGCCCGTTCCGGCCGTTTTAATTGCTTTTATTAATTGCAAAAAAAAGCGTGCCGCTTCCCGCAATAACCGTAATGGTTCCAATGTTTGTAAGCGCGGTAAAAAAGGTGCTAATCGAGCAACAATTTGCTTTAATTGCTTTAATTCCGTGCTTTACGGCAAGTTTAGCATTAAAAGCAATGTATTTTGGCTTTATATTAAAAAGCTAAATTTTAATAGCAAGCGTTGCTAGCGTTATGCTTTTAATTATTTTTGCAAGCTTATATAAAAAGCTTTTTTTATTTATTTTAAAAAATTTTGCGCTAACAATTGGTAATTTTTTAATTGCTTATCGTATTGCTATAAAGTTTTTTGCTAAAACGCTAAGCAATAAGCTTTACAATGCAATATATTATTTTTATTTTATATATTTTATGCTTTACGAATTCGCTAACGTTGCTTTTCTAATCGTAAATACTTTAAAAATGGCGCACCATTACCAAATAGCTTTTTAAGCTTAATGCTAAGCAAGCCAATCCAAATGCTAATTTTGCAATTATAATTCCGGGTTAGCAATACGAAACGAAACGCTTGGCCGCGCTTTGTTTTTTTAAAATTGCGTTTTTTGGAATTTCAAGCAAAGGTTTTTTTATTTAAAACGATAATGCGAATAAGGAAAATAAGGATCTTAATATTAATAATAATTAATTTTATTTTATAACGCTTATAAAATTTAAAAATCCCGTTGTTATGTTTGCGGTTGTTGCTAAAAAACAAAAAGGGAAAAAGGTAATTTTTGTTGCTAAAAGCAAAGGTATTGCTTTTGGTTCGGGTAATAATGTTGTTATTTAAACGTAAAAGCTTTAAAATCGGTTTTTTGTGCTTTTTTATAATGGTTTCGTTTTGGGGTAAAGGTATTAATTTTCGCGCTTTTAATTTATGGTTTAATGCTTATTGCGCGTTAGTTTTAGCCTTTTTTGCTTTTCCTTTTATTAAAGCCTTTTACATGGCCATTACCGTAAAAACTTTAACAAGCCAAATGCTGGTTTTTACTTTTAAACCTTTTTTTTATGTTTTTATGCGGTTAACCCAACCTTTAATTCGTATCGAAGTTGTATTGGTGCTTACTAGCTTTTTTAATGCCCGATTTAGCTATTCCTTTGTTATAGCATTTGCCGGATTGTTTAATTTTGCAATCCAATAAATTTTATCGATTTCTTTATTTTTATAAGATTTTCGGAATGCTATTAAATTAATTATTAATTTTTTTTGCTATTGTGCTTAATTAAACAAAGCATTAATAAAGCAAAAGGTTATCGATGCATAAAATAAATTTAAATTATACAAAATTTAGCCTTTTAAAAATCGTTAAATACTCTTTTTTTATTACGTAACTAAAATCGAACCCAAAAATTATACCGTAAATTTCGCTGGCTAGCATATTCCGTATAACCCTTTTGCATTTAACAAAAATTTAATGCAAAATATTATTACGCAATTAAAAGCTCGTTTAATGCTTATTCGATTTTTTATTAACCAAAATAAAAATAAACCCAATTTGCAAAAACATATTATTGTTATTTGTAAAGGATCCATTTACGAAAATGTAAAGGTTTGCGTTTTTAAATTCGATAAAAACGTTATTTAAGCTTTTGTTAGCGTTTTCGATTTACCAACCAATCCTTTTATTAAGCTTATCGATATTTTTTTGTATTGGGTTTGTTTTTTGTGCGGTTAAGGCGTAATTAAAAGTTGTTTTAAATTGGCATATGGAATTAATATACGCTTTACAAGCCTTTTAAAATACAAATAATTGCTTATAGCTTTTTAAATTGGCGTTTACAAACTTTAATTTTTTGTTTTGGTTTTTTGCTTTAATTTAATTCGGCCCTTTTCGACAATAATTTTTTTACCGTTAAAATTGCTTTGTTTTTTTTCCGTAAGCATTAAACGTGGTTTTGCTTTAAATTTTGCTTTTAAAGCGCTTTTTTTTTAAAATTTATAAATTTTTAATTTTTAAAGTTTAACGTATCGTTTATTTGCATTTTTACCATTCCAAAGCTTATATTGCGCTTTGTAATAAAAAAATACGGATTGTAATACAACGATTTGCAATTTAACCGTTCCTTGTAATGCTTTTAATACGTAGCGTATTAATGCAATCCTAATTTTGCTAGGCCGTATAAAGGCTTAACGGTTTGGAATAAAGTGCTAAAAGGAAAACGTGGTTGTAATTTTTTAAATAAGCGCAGCAAAACGATTTTTTCGAGCTTAATTGCGCTTTAAATGTACGCTTGGGTAATATTTCGGGTTATTAATAAAATGCTTCGGTTTTAAAAATTTAATGCAAGCGCAAAAATTAACCGTTGGTCGCAACGCATAATTGTAAAAGTTTGCGTTAAAATCGTTTTTTTTTCGTTGTTATTAATGCTTTGGGCCACGCATTTTGTTTTTTCGTAAAAAGCTTTAAAAGTTTTTTTTATTTTTTTAACAAATCGTGCTCCAAAAATTTTAATATTTGGAAATTAACCTTTACGAATTGCTACAATTATTTTGGCGTTAAACAAAAACGTTATTTCGTTCTAATTGGCTTTTTAAAACGGAAGTTTTAAAGTTTTAATTAAGCTTTTCGCTTTATATTCGATCGATAAATGCATAACTTTTGCCTTTTTGGGTAATAAATACGTTTTATTGTATAGTTTAATTTCCAATCGTTTTTTTGGTTTTAAAAGCTTATTGTTTTTTGCGTTTAGCGTTAACGAATTTGGTTAAATTCGTAATTATGCCGTTGTTTTGTTTTTTGGTAATTATTTGCATTATTTTAGCTATTCCGATTTAAAATAAATAAATGGTTTTAAATTTTTAATTTATTGTTTTTCTAGCTCGTTATTTAGCCGTTTTTTAGTTCGATAATAAAGCTTAACAAAAATGCTTTCAAACGTTACTAAACCGTTAACAATTTTAATTGTAACGTTATAATTTGTTACCGTTGCTATTTTGTACGGGCCCGTTTATCCTTTTTTTCGGAATATTAAAACCTTTGTTTTTAAAACGAAAAAGCTTGGTTTAACGGTGTTAATATTCGGGCCATTTCGGGTATTAACAACGTTTGCAAACTTTTTTTTAGCAACGGCTTTTTAAAGCTTTACTATAGCTTTTTTAATTGTTTGCGCGCGTTTGGTTATAATTGGTAACGGTAGCAATTTATGGTTTATTTATAGCATGGTTTTAAAAATAAATAGCGTAACTTTTGCTTCCCCAACTTCGCAACGAGAAAACGCCATTAAATACAGCAAATTTAACATTAAATTTAAACTTTTCGCCCCCGGCTCGCTACCGGATATATGTCCGCGCGCGAGCGCGCTTCCGGCGCGGTTGCTAGCGGCGCTAGCAACCCCGTAAGCGGCGGAGCGGTTACTAACCGTTTTAAAACTAGCAATAATATTACTATAACCAACGCTTTTAACCTTTTTTTAACGCGGATTAATATTGCAAATTTAAAAAACCAATTAATCGAAATATTAAAGCTTTTTGTATTTCCCGGTAATACCAAATTAATGTTTAAAATTGTAAAAAAATAAATTAAAACCGTAATAAACGCGTTTAAAACGTAAACCCGCAACCATTGCAACCGCATGCTTAATTACTTTCGTATTATAAAAAACGAAATTATTGTTAAAATACGCAACGTTTACAAGCAAATTACCAATTACGCTTTAATTTTAATAACCGGTTTGCCGCAAAGCGGTTAAACAAGCGGTTACCCGTTTACAATCCGGCTTTACGCATACCTTAATACCGGCCCCGGCCCCCCCCCCA